TCATCAAAATGGCTATCCATGGTTACCTACTTCAATGGAAGTAGAAAAAATCCAATAACATTATTATCACCCAACATGGATATGTAAAACAACAAAAACATATTGCAATGGAAATTGTTTGGGCAACAAAACTAATACACAGGAAAATTGTATGCTAATTATGAAAGATGTAAAACTAACCTCCTTCAATGTATAACCAATAAATAAAATAATGTCAAAACATTAGTATACAATCTGCCACAACAGTTTTGAAACCGTTAGGTACCTGAAGAGACCAAAAAATAAAAAACAAAGTTAGGTACCTGAAGAGTGCTTATGAAACCGTTGATTTGAGACACTGTTAAGAACGTAACAACTGTATTAGAAATACTAAACATACCACAACAAATAATAAACAAATACAAATAATCCCCATAAAGAGTTTCTGTGTCTCTGTATTTCTGACTCTCTCTCTGTTCTTGGGAAAGTAGAATACACAGCTGTAATTACTTGGTTTTAAGATTAATAGACCAATAAATAAACCTCAAATTCTAGGTAGACATTTCATGAATCCTAGCAGAAATTGATTCATATTACTTGAACAAAAATTCATCAAAACATTGGTAGACAGACATATTCACCTTCTCAGGAATCCATTACATTGAGTAATCAATTCAACTGATCAAAAAAAAAAAAAGGTAATCAACTCAGCTTCAGTTATTCAATTCTATGTCCTCAAAGGAGTGCCACACAATGCAATTCAAAACAATATTCAATGTTTCTTTTCCCAATTGTCACAAACACAACACTACTATTGTCCAAAAAATGAGGTATGATACTTTCTTTGTTTCTTTCTCTGTCTTACTTTCATTCTACCTTTTACACTGTCCCAAGCCGTCACCAATTTCGCCATTCACCCACTGTTTGTCCCAAACCCCCCACCATCTACACTCATCCACACACAAATTGCACCAACTTCTCGTCATCCCTTCCCTCTCTCTTTCTCTCTCTCAAACATCTCTCTCTCACACACACACACACTCACTTCCACATATACACCCACACACACTCACTGTCACAAATTCACACACAAACATACACATCTAGAAGGAGGCTATGGTACTGATTTTGTATAGATTTAGTTTGGTTTAGTGTAGATTAGATTTGATTTTGCATTTAGTTGCAGTTTTGGAGGGAGAAAAGAGAAGATGATTTAAGTATAGATCTGAAACCACAAACAAGTTTTGATGCCATCAATCACCAACCACCCAACACATCCATAGGCCAAAAACACCAAGTCAAAACTCAAACACTTATAAACCACAACCACAAATCAGACTACATCTGAAGTGAAACCTGAGGCAGCAAAGTCGGATGGATTAATCGCAACCACCCACCGCACACTGCAAGATAAGGCATTTTTCACCTTGGGTGAAAAGATTAAAACCAAGTTTGGACTCAAGTTGTTCTTTTGTGTTAAGAATGAGCTTTTACTTCTTCGAAACCCTCGTGTCTCTACTGTCTCGCCTTCGATTTACTTTGTCTATTGTTTTGTTAAAAGCTTTGAGATCTAGATGGAGATCGAGTTTTGGAAAGGAGAGGGGTGCCACAAGGATAGAGAGATAGAGAGAGATATATATATATCTATACACAAATGTAGAGAGAAAGAGATAGCGACAGCATGAGATTGAGATATATATATATATATATATATATACACACAAAGAGAGAGAGAGAGAAAGAGAAATACCTTGCAATGGGGGACAGTGGGCCTCGCTTGAGAAAAGAGGGGACCAATGAGAAGAACTGAAGAAGACAAAAAAAGGGAGGGGTAAAAACCCTACATTGGTTATTGTATAAGGGTATTATAGTAATTAGAAGCCCAATCCGATAACTAGGCTAGATAATCCCAAAGTTACTATGGGATATAATAAAGTGGGTCAGATGGGATAAAGGAGACAAAAGACTACGGGCCGAAGAATTGAGCCCAACGTGTATCCCATTCACAAAAGTGGATCCAAACCAAGGATTGTGGGCCACCGGACAAGAAAACCCAATCCAATAAGGGTTATCCCCCTTTATCCCCTTTGCCAAACACACCCATAGGGTAAGAAAACGAGACCACCTATCGTCCAAAAAAATATAATTTTTGGGGATGTAAGTTAAATTGCAAAGGACATAATCAATCTTAAAAATATTATTTGTGATCATAAAAGTTATAGTTTTTAAAGGTCAAATTATAATTTTATTAAGAAATTACATTTTATTGAAAGAAATCATGGTCAATTTATAATATTCTTTATTAATAAGTTCAAATAATTATATTTTATTTTAAAAAGTATAAATTAATTTTAAAAATGTTAATTTTAAAATAGTATTACTTTTTTTGGGTACCAAACTATTATTATTATTTTTTAGTGTATTGTCATTATAGCAAGATAAGTTAATACTTGAGTCGAACTACTCCAAGTCGGCTCAAGTTCGATTTATTTTAAATTTGATTCATCGAACACGACTAAATTAGAACCCGCCAACCTGAGGTGGAGCGGTGGCGCCAACCATTAACTGTTAACCTCAGACACCAAAATATTCATAATGTTGACAGGCGTCACAAAACGTAGCACAAAATGCAAAACACAGAGACATTGGAAGTAGTCTCTCACAGTAACTTCTAACCAAGTAACCTCTTTCTCGTTCTATTCTCTTCACATAAAACATTGAGTTGACAACCATGGCTTCTCGGAGGCTCCTCGCCTCTCTCCTCTGATCCACTCATCGTCCTCCCTCCGGACCTTCGTTTCGAAACTCTAGGTCCTTCTTACATCGTCCATCACCAAAGGGTTACATATTCAACCCGCATTGTGAACTATGTTACCTCTGCAACAACTCCGTCTCAGCCAGAACCGGTACAACCGGCAAAGCTTTTTAAGGATATAAATGGGAGGATTATCGATGAGTTTACCAGTGCCTGAGCGATTGGGAAAGTGAGTCAGGTGATTGGAACCGTCGTTGATGTGAGGTTCAAAAAGGGTTTGCCTCCGATATTGACGGCTCTAGAGGTTTTGGATCACTCCATTAGGTTTGTGCTTGAGGTGGCTCAGCATATGGGGGAGAATATGGTGAGGACCATAGCTATGGATGGGATTGAAGGGCTTGTTCAAGGGCAGAGAATTCTAAATACTAGATCTCCAATAATTTTAAGAAAAAGTTGTTTCATTTCATGTAGCTTATTGTTTTACTAATTTTGTTTGCTTGGATTTTTTGAGAAATGTTAAATATTTTATGGGCTTAATAGGTTTGAAAGTTGGGGTTTTCACTTATTCTGATGGGTTTGGTATGTATAAGTGTGAGATGTAGATATTGTGGCCAGTTTGATAATGCTAGATTGACCAAATTTTTGGATTAAATTTAGAATCAAAATAACATGACAACATATTACTTGGAGTTTTTGTTGAGACCCAAATGACATGACACCAAATAAAAAAGTTCAAATTAGCTGTCATGTCATTTGAGTTCAAAATTTAGTAAATGTAGCATTACTGATTATTTTTAATTCTTAATAATTTGTTCTACTTAAATATATTGCGGATGATTTGGTAAACCAAAAATTATAAAAAAATGAATTAGAAGGATATTATTTTGAAAATTTTGTAGGGTCGATGGTTAATCTAAGGGCTACAATCATTTTAAAAAGGATCCAATGGCCTGCAAGGCTGCAACAAGATTTATCTTCCAATCTTACAGGATCACTAGAAGATAGGACACGTGGAAGCACCCAAACAAACCTTACTACAATTCCACGACGGCGCATTTTAACGGAACCCAGTCCACCACTTACCTCCAACTTTGGCGGCGGCGCTCTCTAGACTCCACCACACCCATCTCCAAATATACTCCAAGAACATGTCCATAGCAACACTCTTCCCCCCTCCTGTCTCTCTTACCTCCTCTCATCCCCACCTCTGTTCCCATGCACCTCACCGCACCCAACCACTTCACCACTCGATGACCACCACCGTGCTCCGCCAACTAACCCACCGTCACAACTATCTCCTCCACCACCACCGCCACCGTTGCCGTCGTTTCCTCTCCGTCGCGGCAGCCGCCGTCCGCCAAGATACCACAGTCTGGACCCAAGCCCCTCTCACTTCGATCCACCCCGCCGCCGAGACCCTATTCCACATCTCCGTCGACGTCTCGGACTCTCCGGAGCTTGCCAACTCCTTCACCACCGCCGGCCAATACCTCCAGCTCCGTGTTCCTACGGACGACGATGTTTCAAAGCCTTCCTTCCTCGCCATAGCTTCTCCGCCGTCTCTAGCCTCGGTCCAAGGTGTGTTTGAATTCTTGGTGAAGAGCTTCGCTGGGTCCACCGCCGAGCTTCTCTGTGGGCTCAACAAAGGGGATGTGGTTGAATTGAGTCAGGCAATGGGAAAAGGGTTCGATATTGATCATATTTCTCCGCCAGAGGATTATCAGTCCGTTCTGATTTTCGCAACCGGATCTGGAATTAGGTATTTTTTTAAAAAGAAAAATTATCAAATCGTCAAGTTGCTTCTTTAGTTTGCATTTGAATGTGTTAATTACAATAATTTTGTAGTCATAAGATGATCTCTGTTGTAGAAAATAGAGAAGCTCTCATGCTCTTGGGCATTTACACAGGCACATTGGAAAAACATACAACTATAGAGAAATCCAACATCCAAGTTTATCTGTGAAATCCATTCTAAGTTGACTTTGTGGACACCCAGAATGTTGCTTTTTCAGTTCCATTTGAACTAAGAAATCTTTTAAAGTTTAAGGCACTAGTGAATTTGCCATTTCTTTGAGTTCATCACTGCCTTCTTTTATTAGCTGAATCTATTTCTAAGACTCAATTGCCGTTAAGTTCCTCGCTCTTTTTGGTTAGCTGGGCCTGTTTCCAACTGGATCTTAACAAGTCCTTTGAAGTTGGTTTGGCTGCATCATGTCCAATGTTGGGACTCCAAAATTCAGCTGTTGAACATGTATTTTGTTTGCTACTCGGAGTGCGAGCTGAACAGCCTCTTTTAGTTTAGTGCCTGTTTGTCCACTTATGAAGAGTTGGCCTGCTATATGCTGTTTGATTTGATGTCATAGAAGTGTTTTTTTAGAAATGCCCAGATACTTGTTTCATCTGAAGTAAGTTACTGTTGCTATTGAGTGCTACGTTTTTGCTAAGGCTCTGATTTGGCCGGATATCTTAGATTATCATTTTCCAGTTTACCTGAAGTTGGTTATTGGCACTTTTGGAACATATACTTCAGAAAGATTTATGTCCTATGATCATTGCTCGTGGCTGGGTTGGTGTCTCGAATCTTGCTATAAATTAGAAACTACAAATCCCTTGGGTTTTGGGTTATAGTTTATCCTGTATTTTTTTCCTCATTATGATATAGGTTGCTCCCTTGAAGGTCATTACAGATCTAGGTGAGAGAGGAAAAAGAGAAGAAAAGAAAGGGGGGGAGGGGGGGGGGGGGATATTGGATGCTTCAGATAGACCTCATGCAATGAGGGCCCTATAGTAATATCTGTGGTGTGGTCTCCTGGTTAGCTATCACTTGCAAGATTTTACTTTTGTGATTGGCCCACTACAAGTTTAATAATCTCTGTCTGAACCCCTAACCAAAAGGACATTTGTTCAGTTTCTTTCTTATGCATGTCTGATGGATTTTGCCCATATGTTGGCGGAGTAGAATTAGATTCGAGTAATAAAAATTAAATTTTCTTTGAGGTGTGTGACTATATGTAATTGCTCAAATACTTGTATCTTAAAATTCTAAATATTTGTGTTGGCCCCCTCATCGAAGATCATAGTGCCTGTGAGACCATTAACTTATATTTGACAGAGGATATGCCTTTGCTATCATATACTCCAGTTATATAGATTTAGTATATTTTTGCACATATTTAGCTTTTGGCGTGAGCTCATCTCAAATCTCAAACATGGGAGGAGTTGATTGGTGGAGTTGCTTTGTGAGACACAAGGGAGTGGGAGAGAAGGGTGAATGGTTGTGTTGCTTCTGTCTTTGTTTCTTTTGCACCTATGGTATGTGATAGAAGCCAAATTACATGTCCATCATTTCCAAGAATTGAAGCCTTGATAAGAAATTATTATGGCATGTATTTGCAATATGCATGCTTTCTTTGTGTCTTCTCAATGTAATTCCTCTACTTTATCACGTGCAGCCCAATCCGGTCTTTGATAGAGTCAGGATTCAGTGCTGATAAGAGATCTGATGTGAGGCTCTATTATGGTGCAAGGAATCTTGAGAGGATGGCTTATCAGGTTCTGATCAGTGCTTTGCTTGTCAGGGTTCTGTCATTTTTGTTTATATGAAAACATTATATAAAATGAATTTGATCTGTTGATGAGAGTTTATTTCTGAGCTTTTGTTTCTACTTCCTTCTGCAGGATAGATTCAAAGATTGGGAATCTTTGGGAGTTAAAATTGTGCCGGTACTATCTCAGCCAGATGATAATTGGAAAGGTGAACGTGGCTATGTACAGGTACTTAGTGTTTATGCTTATTTGCACTGGCAGGTCTTTTAAGCTGTTCGATATGGCGACACTGCCTCAAATCTGCTTAACATATTCTGACACCATTGCTTTTGCAGGCTGCTTTCTCTAGAGCCAAAAAAATTTATAGCCCTCAGTCCACTGGTGCGGTGCTCTGTGGACAAAAACAAATGGCTGAGGTTTATTTTTTTCCCCTAAACTTATCAAATCTTTTCATCGCTCATACTCTGATGAAAGATATTCTGGTTAATTTTTCAAGTCGTGTCTTTGTTTATAGTTTCTGGTTTCATCGGGAAAGCCTGAAACAGCACCCATCTTGCTATCAACCATCAGAGTTGTGTTCTGATGGTTCTTGGCATGTTTGGCAGGTTATTAAAATGGTCCATGTTTCCTCCCAACTATGTTCTGTTTTTTCTTTTTTGTCTTTGTTGTTTTGTTTTTGTATTCTTTACTGGGCTTGTAGGAGTTGGTTTATTTTATGAGTCTATGCATCAAATGAAGCTCGCCATCCCACTAAAAAGTGGGATTCCTTTGAAAACCGAAGCCCAGAAAGACATTAAGAAATAAATGTGGTCCCATAATCCATCTGACCACTCGCTTCGATTTTAAAAAATTCTTGCATTCCTCTCTGTCCAAATAACCCAAAAAGTGGCAGTGCTAGCATAATTCAACAGAGTCACGCCAATATCAAACAGCTCTAGGCCTTTCAAATATTTGACAAATAAGGATTAGATATGACAGGGGAATCACTGAACTCATACACGCCAAGTTAAACTACTCATACCACAATGACTACAAAGCAGGGCAATGTAAAAAAGAATGATCAGTGCTCTCTTGATCACCTTTATGAAATGAAGCTTTATTCAAATCTGGTTCATCCAGATATTGTTGCTATTGATGTGTGAGATTGGGAACCTGAGGATTCCTTCTATTTCTGGATACATTATATGGGTTTGGATGTCTGAGATTGAGTTATAATCTGTGGGAAAAAGTGTATGCTGTAAGTTGACTGAATGAATGAAAACGTTAGTCATATAAAGATACACATTTATGCTTTTGTTTAACTGCTTTTTATATAAGTAGTTCTTGTAAGAAACTGTCATAAGTTTATGCATAGAATTAGCTTATAGTAGAGGGGGTTGAACCTGATGAATGACTCCAATTATGGGACAAACCCACTGTCTGAATCACACATGCACCAATTATGGTGCATGTGTGAGCTCAGTAAGTAATCATTTACTACTTGTTCATCTTTATCTTCTTATCTCTATCCTCTTCTTTTTTCTTGGACGATATTGCCGCTTGCTTTAATTTCTTGGTATTGCTACTCATTTTTGAAACAATTAGGTGAACCTCTATACAAATAATTCATAATGTTTCTAATTCATTTGTGGAGGAATCGTAATCCTAATTCTTTGCATCACTATCTTGCTGCAAGATTCTTTATCTATTTTTATGTTGCACAGATTGTTTGATACTATCATAAATACTGCAATGGAAAGGAAGTCTAAGTTACATTGTAGTCTGGCTGCAAGAAGAACCTAGATTAATATATCTTAATGTTTAGATATTAACGATTGTGAATGCATTCTTGCATTCAGTGAAATGACCATATCTGTGTTTATTCATAATATTTATACTTTGAAGAGGTTAAGCATCATGTGTCAATATTGAAATCTGGATGACTACTACTTGCAGGAGGTTACTTCCTTTCTTGTAGCCGATGGAGTCTCAAGTGAGAAGATTTTGAAGAACTTCTGACAGCATTCAATAGGTCCATAATGTTGTGTCATTGTTGAGGAAAAATTACAAAATTTCATTCTTTCCGAACTGCTGAGCATCACATATCCTCAGCTTTGGAATACGAAATAAAACCAATTTTGCAATTTCTATGTTGGAATTGTCAGTCACAGCAGCTAAATCATACCTCATAGTAACAGTCATTTTTTGAGCATTACACAGTCTCCATGGGAACAGGAGGCTAACATTCTGAACATCGGAGTTGAAGACTTCCATTTCATGTTCATTTCCAACGACGTGAAAAGGGCACAAGCTAGTTATTTAGTCGCACTTTTTCGAGCTAAACTCCAGTAGGAATAATCCATTATCTAATTTCATCTTACATGATGCGTAAATCTGTCAACTTATGTTGTTTTATGTTCTAATAGATTATCAAGATTCGAACTTAAGATATTTAAATTTATAGTTTGTTCCTATTACTATTTGAGTTAACTTTGATGTTAAAATTATCCAAACGTTCGCTCCTAACTAAAGCTAGCAATGAGCTTTATTTAAGTTTGTGTTATTGTTAAACTCTGTTCTATTTTTATATGATAGATTTATGATTATGCATAGCTAGGTTGGTAATTATGTACAGACCATGAGTTTGTATCCTATTTAGTCGAATTGGTGTCACTATATTAACCTATTCTTTTAGTGATAATTACAATGAAATTCCTTCTAGTTTATGATATTTTCATTGTAAGTCATTATTTCTAAAGTTATATTGAATCCTCTAGGATGTAATAACTCGTGACAGATTCTCCTTCTATCAATTTTAGTCAGTGTGAATTGTCAATTTTACCCTCAAGTAAGAAAATCAATATTTAACCCTTGATTACTCTTATTTAGACAATTAAACCTGTCAAGATAGATAATAAAAAATAGTCAATTTACAATTTGCTCGTGTAAACAAAATAGGATTATTAATCTAATCTATCAATTTAAAAAAAAAAAAAAACATAAAAAATCTACCAATGCCGCAAGTTACTCCTTTATTTACTCTATAATTTTTGCCACGAAATCTGTCCAAATTAATTGAAAGTCGTTTCCAATAAATTTAATGAATTTTGTTTTTATTAATTTATTAGTTAGATTGACAAATTTGAAAATCCAATTAATATAAATATAGTGGTCAAATATTGGTTTTCTCATTTAAGGGTAAAATGGGTAATTCAAGTTATTAAAAAGGGAAGATTTGTTGTAGGTTGTCACATTTAGGGGTTCAGAATAATTTAAAAAATAAAAGAGGTGCAGTGAAAATATCCAAAATAAAAAGGGTGTTGTTGTAATTTACCCATTCTTTATACTATCGTAATATCTAGAATTGTCATGCCTCCTGTCATAGCTTTTACTTTCCAATTAAGTTTTTAATTTCCATTTTAAAAAATGAAATTCCTGAAAGCCCAAGCAACACGGCAGAGATGAATCATCATTGACATGACTTAGGTCCATTGACTACTAGACAATACACATTCATATCAAATTCATCTCTCTCATTCTCTCTCCATCAATTTCACCGCCAATCACCTCTATGGCCGCTCCTTCGTCAGCGGCGAGCACCGCCAATATCATGCTGGCAATCTACGAGAAGAAAACGGTCTCACTCGACCTCTACCGCCCACTCCGCAACTACATCGTCTACAATTACTCCGAACGCGAGGCTCAAATCCTCGAAGACGACCTAGAAACCCTAAAGCAGTACCGCTCCGATCTCGAAAAGCCCACCGATTCTCTCCCCTCTCGCCGCGATTTGCTCCAAAATTACTACAGAGCCCTTTGCTGCGTTGAGTCTCGATTCCCAATCTCCCCCGACAAAGACCACATCAATACGGTGACGTTTTCGTGGCACGACGCTTTTAAGAATAAATTGAAAGCTTCGCAGCAGAATATTCATTTGGAGAAAGCTGCTGTGTTGTTTAATTTGGGGGCGGTCTATAGTCAGATGGGATTGGGTGTGGAGAGGTCTACAGTGGAGGGGCGGAGGCAGGCAGTGCAGAATTTCGTGGCGGCGGCTGGGGCTTTTGCGTTTCTGAGGGACAATGTGGCGGTGAAGGCGTCGATGGGGAGTTCGACGACGGTGGATGTTTCGGTGGAGTGCGCTGGGATGTTGGAGAGGTTGATGTTGGCTCAGGCTCAGGAGTGTGTGTTTGAGACTACGATCGCGAAAGGGAGTACCCCTGGGGTTTGTGCCAAAATCTCTAGACAGGTTTGTGCGTGAACATTTCCGGAATGTGTTCTCGGTTTGTGGTGCTAGTGATTTTCTCAGAATTATAGTGAAAATTTTAGATTAAAGAAACTTTCATGACTTAGAATGTTTGTCTTTTTTGCTAACTATGACTATTAAGCATCACCATCGTAATTCTGGCAGTTTATAGCTTGAGAATTGCGTCTGTTGGTGTATAATTTCGGAAAATGTGTTGTGGCTTTGTGGCATAAGTGATCATGTGTCCGAATTGGTGTGAAAATTGGGGAACTGTGAAGTAGTTATGTCATAATATGTATGGGTTCTGGGGAAATTTGGTCTTTGAACGTAGCTGTTAGTGAATCCATAAAATTAGTCCAACAAGAACATCTTTGTTAAGCACAATGGTATACTTTTGAAATGATGGAAGTAAGACCTATAGGAGAGAAATTAAGAGAGAATCAACTTAATTGGTTTAAGCATGTGTATAGACGACCTATAAATGCATTAGTGAGGGAGAGTAATGTGATACCTGTCATTAACTTTGAATACAATAGTGAAAAAGGATATGATAGCGTGTAATTATACAGAAGATATGATACTTGATAAAACACGAGGAATAGGATTCAATTAGTTGATCCTAGACATATTGGAGAAGGCTTTGTTGAGTAGAGTTGAGTCAAATAACAAATTTGTTAAGAGGTAACATCCATGAGTTTAGTCAAATGGAAACAAGTATGTTATCGGTGTTTGTTTACATTGTATGGACTATGGAACACATGGCGACATTACATGAACTAAATGCTATGGGATTAATGATTTGACTGATTATATGCCAAATTATTAGTGGGACATGTGGTGGACTATGGGTTGGGTTTCCAGGCTCATATGCTGCTTGTGTTTTATATAGTGGCACAACTTGAAGTAGTTGTCCTCAGTTGAAATGTTGCAGTTGCTATGGTTATGGTTGTAAGGGACGAATTATGTGAAGTGAATAGGAATTGAAAATTTAGGGGGAATACATACTCTATGGATCGGTTATTCGGTACAACGTAACGTGACCAAAATTGTGAAAAAAATGTGAAGAAAATTTTGTTCTTACTCTTTTACCAGCCATACTGCAAAGTGATTTTTTCATATAATTGTGGTGGAAGATTATAACAGCACATAACTAGCTTAAGAATGTGAACTTATAGCAAGTTATTACTCTTGATACCGAAACAAAGTATGTTTACTTATGTCATTGCCCCTATCAGGCTTTCGCAGAGTTAGTATTGACATTCTTCAGGTCGTAATGACTTTGCAAAAAGGCTAAAACAGGTCATAACATGAGTAACACCATAGTTTTTCACCTGTTGTTAGTTTCTTATAAAAATATAATTATTATTTCACGTACCAAAAAATTATTGCCAAAATATTTGAAAACTAAAATTCAGTCAAAATGGGATACTTAGATAAAGGTGTTATGGTTCAATTGATCCTATCTCACAGTTACTGCAACTCTTATTTTGATATGTTTTGAAATGGACATAATTACAGGCTGGGCTGTACTATGAGGAAGCTTTGGCAGCATTGAATGTTGCGCCTCTCAACCAGCATTTTGACAAAACCTGGCTTTCTCATGTTCAGTTGAAGGCAACCTTGTTTTATGCAGAGGCTTGTTATAGGTACAGTTTAGAGCTACATGAGAAGGAAGAGATTGCCGAGGAAATTGCTCGGTTGAAGAGTGGGGTTAGTGCTTTGTCTGAGGCAAAGAAATCATCTTCAAAGGGGGCCGCTCAGCAGCTTTTGGATGCAATTAATAAGCTAGAGGCCATTGTTAATTGTAATCTTGAGAGGGCTGTGAAGGAAAATGATAGAGTTTACCTTATGAGGGTTCCTCTGGCCAGCTCTTTGCAGCCTCTTCCTGCATTTTCCATGGTTAAGTCCATGCCCATGAATGAGGTTTTGGATGCTAGCAGGGAGAAGATGTTCGCTAGTCTTGTTCCTGACAGCAGTGCAAAGGCTCTTTCCAGGTACACCGAAATGGTTGATGACATCATCAGAACACAAGCTGAGAAATTGCAGCAGGGGAGTGAGCTAGCCCGAGTGAGGCTTAAGGAAATGGATTTGCCTGAATCAATTCTTGCTTTGGAAGGAAATTTCACTTTGCCAACAGCTCTTAAAGAAGATGTGGAGGCAGTGCAGATCAGTGGGGGCCCAGCTGGTTTGGAAGCTGAGCTTCAGCAACTTAAGGATTTAAGGAGGGTAAACCGGGAATTGCTGGTCCAGACTGAGGAGCTCTTGCAGAAAGAAGCAAACGAAGATATGCAGTTTAGAACCCAATTTGGGACACGGTGGACTAGGCCTCAATCCAGTACTTTAACAAAGAACTTGCAAGATAGGCTGAATAGGTTTGCAGCCAATCTGAAGCAAGCTGCAGAAAGTGATGCCCGGATTGAGCGCTCAGTGAGAGATCATTCGGCCCTCATGTCAATCCTGGACCGCCGTCCGGTATGCTCCAGATTATTTCTGTCAATTCTTATCTGGTTTGCTGTGTCCTTGAAACTTTGAAACCAGATTTATGATGCATCTTTTGTATGTCCAAGTTGAACATGTTACGACATTCATGAACAGTATAAGTATTTTTGATTGATGATGTTGTGGTATTATTATTGCACTGCATTCATTTTGATAGGAAATTTCTGTTGGTCTTCTGGTGATCATTTTAGGCATGTTGTTAATATGATAATAAGGGGATAAATTATTACCTATAGTTGGTCCTGCTTATATGGGGTGGTGCTTGGAGAACTGACTAGGCATAGAGATCATTTTTAGGTTTGTTTACGTATAGTGACTGCGTTTCACTCAAAGCTCTCACTATCAAACCTTACAGTTGATAGCCTGAGCTTTTATTAGTTTTTGGGCCTTTTGCATTTGTTGATGTGCAAAAAGTTTGGGAGAGATTGATTAAGCATTGACTATGAAAAATTAGTTTTGTTTTATGCCTCCTAGTTCAACAATGGAAGCTATTTATCAATTAAGATGGAAAAGATAGAGAGAAAGCTGAAGATCTTCGTATGACTTTTATAGGCGTAGAGAAACTTATGATGAGCTCCTGATATATTATGAGGGTATGAAAAACAAAGAAGTGATATATGAGAAAAGTATGATGTTATTAATAACATTCAGTGAGGTCCCATCATGTGCGTTTTTGCTGACGATTTTGTGCTAATAGAGATATAGAAGGGATTTTTGGTAAATTAGAAGTTTGGAAGAAGCCCTAGACTCAAAAGGATCTAGGGTAAGTAGGACTTGAGTAAAATAAAATAATTTGGTACAAGTAGAAAAACAAGTTAATAGTGTTGTACATTGAAGGATAGGAGAGACACAACAGTGAATATTGTTTTATTTGGGCTCTGCTATTCAAGGAGAAATCCCACAGCCTACTACTCCTAAAATTAAAAGAGGTTGGGTTGAGTGCATGAAGTACTTCAGATGCATTGCTTGAGAAACATATAGCTTTAAAAGTTAACTAAAACACTATTTTATAAACCAGTTATAACAACAACTACATTGCGTGTTCGGGGTAAAGTTATGTATAAATGTGTCGCCATGCCATTAATTTATGCTATGTGGGACACAATATTGAGCATCTAACAAGCAATATGTTTTTCAAATTAGTGCGGTTTAAATGCAGATGTAGGTATGGATTTGTTCTGGCGAAGGATAAAATTGGAAACAAATACAGACTTGAGATGGCAGGGAGCCGTACCTGTTTATGTTAAATTGAGAGGAAATCGACTAAGATAATTTGGACATGTGCAATAAAAACCAATAACTGCTCCATAGAGGAAGAGTGACTTGATAAGCATTAGTAGTATTGAGGGGGATTGAGCTAGACGGAAACTAATGTGGACTGAGATGGTAAAAAAAGATGTGTCAGCCTATGGTTTAGCAAGAGTTTTGGCTCTTGATAGGGGAAAAAGACTTATGTAGCTGATCCCAACTAGTTGACACGGTTTTATTGAGGTACAATAACCATTTTGATGGGAAATATGCAGTTAAGGGATTTCGTGATGTTCCACTTAATTCTGTTGTTGGTTTGATTGAAACAGTATTCGTTTTTTAGCCTTTCACACTATGGACTAATTTATCATTCTGGTCCTTATCCCAATATTAAATTTTCATTATTTACCCAAAAAAAATATATATTGAATTTTCATGTATCATTACATTTGCATATTGCTCTTTTGTTAGATAGAATCTGCTCTTCCCAGTCTGGCGAGGCCCATAATGTCTTTGGATGCCAATGAAGATGCTATAGTGGGAGCTTTGAAGCTGAGCTTGGTAATTTGATTGTTTGAGGCTTTTAACTGCATGATTAATTTTTGTGAATTCAAAATAGTTGTACAATCGCCAGTCTTCTTTTCTGCTTATATCCTTTTCTTACATGACTCGTATTAGAATCTATGTTGTTATTTTTATTGTTGAAAACCACCTATTCTTTTCAATGATTCTAGAAACTATATCATCTTTGCTATATCATGGTGTTCATAGATCATAAATTGTGTAGAGGACATTGTAATGAAATGAATCCGAAAATGTTGATGCCCTGCACAGATTATTTTCAGAGGGTTTCCCGAGCTTCTGTTAAAATTTTGTGATAGTTTTAATTCCTTATACAGCAACAATTTTTAATTCCTTATACACTAACAATACTAATGCTCTTTTTAGTTTTGCCATTTAGCTTGCCTGTGACGTTTGCTTCCTATGTCTAATTCATTAAATTTATTGGACTGTTTTCATGTAAAGTTGTGCTTTCACATTGTGAAACTTTTGAACTAGGAAGAGCTTAAAAATCGTCTAAAAAATGTTGGTCTTAAATGAAATCCCAATTATTGGTGGACCTAATTAGAAACTAAAAGTGGCAAGCGTGTGGAAATATGGGAACAGGAAATTTCTGCAGGGGCAGCATGAAATTAACATGACTCATAATGATGTAATGTTAAATGTAAGAAAAATCTAAGCAGGGGCTATGTGAATGGCCGAATTCACCAGGGTGAAGGACCTCAACCTTGATGTAATTATATAAAACATAAAACTTACCAGAAGCAGAGTTAGAATTTCTGTGCGTATGAATTGGTGGCGGTCTTCTTTGTTCTCAGATAGACTGCAAGAATGTTTACTTATGTTGTTCCATTCTCCGAGTTTGAATTCCTTCATTAAACCAGCCGGGATATAGAATGTTATATATGCTCCAAAACTAGAAACACTGATCATTCACATTACGAAGTTCTTGGACTACTGAAGCTATAAATTTCCTGCAAGGAGTTGCTGCTAGACTATTACGCACACATCACTGAGACACTTCCTTGGATAGCTACATGATTAGCAATACCACTTGGGAGTGATTTTAGCAAATTATTATGTGAATTTTAGGAGTATAAACTCATCTATCTAATATTACATTCTCAACTTATAAAAACAAAACAACGATCAAGATTGATTCAATTTTCATCTACTTTGATCCATTGGTACAAAATTCATCCCCAAATTTGTCTTCCTACTCAAAAACATAATTTTCTCTTCACGATTCCAAATCTCTCTCCTCTCTTTAACTTTTCTTTTATTTTCTCTCCGTTCACTTTAATTTTAAATTACATAATTAAAAAATAAAAGTAAAAATAAATTATTATTTAAAATATAAATATCGCATGCTCAATATTCAATTTTTTGTATTATTGAGGCCTCTAGATATGTTTATGTATATAGAGATGTGATGAAACCATATCATTGCCAAATCTTTTCTATATGATGCCTTCAATGGATTGCTGAGTTGAAATGCATGGAAATGAAATGTGTGAATTGTTTAAGTTTTTTAAAATTGGTGAAATAACTATTTTTGATTTATAAGTAGGCAGAAATGTAGAAATTGTAGTTTACATTCTTTGCCCCTTTATCACTATGATTTTTTTGGGAGACTATTAGTATTAGGGGTGCAACTTGGGTTGGGTAACCCGAGCCCAACCCAAAAAAATTAGGGCTCGGACAAGGGTTTTTAATACTTGGGTTAGACTTGGATCAAAAAACTCCAACCCGAATTCAATTTGGGTTGGGCTCGGGTTAAGATCTCGTGAACCCAAGTTCAATCCGAACCAGACAAATTAATAAAAAAATTATATATATATAAAAATCATTAGCACTGGTTTTTAATTTTTGTTCTATCATTCTCTGTCTCTCTCGTTCTCTCAATCACTCTCGTTAAAAACTTGATTGAAGTTATTGGTTGTTAATTTAGATGAATATTATGTAATATATGTATTAGGTTTAGAACAACAAGCCTATTTTGGACTCTACCTGAATTAAACCCGTAAAGTAACCCAAAATCAGTCCAAAATATCAACCCGAGCCCGCTCGAATTAAACTTGGGCAGTGCTCGGGTTGAGTTTCCCAACCCGAGGTAGGGTTAGGGTTAGGCTGAAGATTATATACCTAGGGTTAGGCTAGGGATGATTGTCCAACCCGCCCGAGTTGCACCCCTAGTTAGTATTATTGTTAAATGTTTAGATTCATACCATCAACTAGGACCTATTTGCAGAGAGTCTCTTCATTGGTGCTTGATTATCTTTGCAGAGGCATTTGGAGACCCTTGGTGCTCAGCGGGCAGGTCTTGAAGACATGCTTAAAGAGATGAAGAGGAAGGTCTGCATGATTTTATTTTTATCACTATGTAATTGGTAGCTTTATTATTGCATAATATTGAGAACAGACAGACATTCCATAATTTTATCATTCCAGTAATTGCAAGTTTTTTGCTTAGCATTTAGGATGCACTTCATATTGCTTATGATATATTTGGCTCAGGATGATATACTCCCCAAGTTGATGGCATCCACCGGCTCCTATGAGGATCTTTTCAGAAAGGAAATATTGAAGTATGATCACATTTGCGAAGAAATTGCCCAAAATATTGAGGCACAAGAACAGTTGCTATTTCAAATTCAGGTTTGTATTTTGTCCAAATTTTGTTTTTCTCCGTCATCTTCTTTCTGGAGAGGTACATTATTTGCTTGGAGCTCTATTGTCATGTTGAGCTGTTCTTCTTGGGTAAACAGATTGTGATAAATATTACAGAAGCTCCTTTGTCTATTGAGCCCTTTTACTGTATCAATACTCCATGCCTTTTGTTTGAACTTGGAGGGGTGTCTGGCTAGGGAGGTGGGAGATTCACGCACCAACACCCCTCCAAAAATAAAACCTACAAAAATAAAATGGAAAAGTAAATTGCAAATTTCTGATGGCGATTGCCACTGAAATTCATCATATTTTTTGCTCATTATTTTCCCTCAAGGTTGGCTGATAAGTGTTCTCCTTTCTCATAATCACTTTTAAATGCTGGATGAGTTTCCCTTATATTCTGGGTGTGATAGGTACAAAGTGGATCCAGTATTGGAAGACTTGATGTTCTTAGGGTTCAGAATAATATTTGTGTTTTATCAACACTTGGCACTCTTTGATTGCATCCTGGAGCGCATTTTATATGCTCCAATTCCTCTTTCTAACTTCATCCATATCATTTTGTTTCCAGTTAGCTTTTGATCATTTTATGTATTAAATATCATTATCTGTCATTGAAGAGCACTTTTGCTCCTAACCTCGTCTATTTTTGTTTTCAGGCACAGAACGATGAGTTTGCTGCTGTCTTTAATCTTGAAGATTATAAAGGTATGCCTTTCATAATTTTGGATTCAGTACTGTTGTTAATAGTAGTTTACCATCAATATTTCCTTGTTCATGCATTTGTTGAAAGGAGTAATATTGTTTAGCCTCCTCTACAAGTAATTCTGTGACTGTGACTGTATGTGTGCTGCTTTTTGTAATGAAATCTGGAAGCCCCCTTCTCTCTCTCTTTTTTATGAGTTTTTTTGGTTATTGCAACTCCAACTGGGAATTGACCTCGGCGGGTTGCCATTTCCTCTTTTTTCTTGACAATGCGGTTGAATGAGTTGAAAAATGATGTTCTTCTCTCACAAGATGAGAATAAAATATGAATACCAGAGTTGACTTTTAGCAAATAATGCAGGATAGTGTCCAGTTGGCTGGCCTGTTTGATCAAATTCAAGTTAGTAAAGTTCAGCTAGTGGATTCAGTTTACAAGTCCATAAAGACGAGTTTTATGGGTTGGTAGCAGTCCACTGATTTTTCAAGTAGCATTTAGCACGAGACATCCTGCTTTCAGCTTGATCTCATGTTGGACCCTTATCTACAAATAAATTCAGTATGTTTTTTTTAGGGCAGTCAATCATATTGGCAAGTTTTTGGGTGATTATTGACAATCCTGTGTATTATCATGGCTTTAATGGTTTTCTGTTCCCCTTTTATGTGCATTACATTATGGATTGGCGCTTCATGTGACATCCAAAGATTAAACTTCTGTTGTCTTGTTGTCTTATGCAGACTGTAACTGTCCCTGCTATAGTTTGTTTTAGATTCTTTTGTTTTAATTTGTTTTGCTACTTCTCCCATGGTTTCTTTTTGTTAACAGCAGTTATACTTTCAACCTTTAGAACTCCTCGAGCCAGATTACAGATCAATTATTGTCTCGTGAAGACTTTGAATTTTTTTTTTCCCCTTATTCTTCTGATTATTCCTGCCTGCCTTTTTCTGTTCATATGGATTTTTTTTACCTTTTTGACATTTTTGTTTTGTCTTTCTCGGCTTCTCAGCATCTCGTGAGAAGAGCTATAAGCAGATTGAAGCTGCCATAGCCAAATTCCGTGAAATCAAAGACAACATTAATGAAGGATTGAAGTTCTATGTTACTCTTCAGGTATGATCTTTTTCATTGTAAATTTTTGGTTTTTATATTGTGCGAGTTGGACTTTGCTCAAGCATAAAGTTACCCAACTTATTTAGCTCTGATGGATTGCCTTCTCATTTACAGTGTGCTTTTGTAGTGTGTTGCTTACATGCATGGGATTGTCAGATTCTATTGCGTTTGTTGTTAGCATCAAATTGCCTGCCTGGGATCATCAGATTATATATTTTTCTATTTCTAGTCTCTTGCCACTGTGGATTAGTTCATTTATAGTTAGTTACCTTGCTTTGGATTGTCAAACAGGATGCAATCACCAATATAAAGCAGCAGTGCAGTGATTTTGTAATGACAAGAAACATTCAATGTCGAGAGATGATTGAAGATGTACAGAGAAAAATATCAGGTCTGAGTTTTCAGGAAGGTAAGAATACAGGTGCTTACAATTATCCTTCAGTTGGACGGTCTCATCAGACTCAAAGGTCCAATTCTCAACAGCAACCTGATCCTGTGAACTTCTACAATCCTCCTCGTGCTCAAACACCTTACTATCAGCCACCGCAGGAGCCAACAATGCCTGCCTATTCTCAGCCATCTCCCCTTTATAGTTCACAGCAGCCACAACCTCCTTACCAAGTGCCAGCAACCAGTGGTCCTCCATACCCCCCTCAGCAACAACAGCAACAGCAGCCAGCAGTATCCCATGAGTATGGCCAACCGGCTTATCCTGGATGGCAGGGCCCCTATTACAATGCACCTCCTCAGCAACCGGGATCCCAACCTCGGCCTCCTTACACCATTCCATCTCCAAATCCTCCTCCCCACCAGGGTGGCTACTATAAACAATGATAGTCATTCCATTTTACAGTTTATTCTGTGTTATTTTTTTGTTTGCTATTTCCCATTGTTAGTAGGGTGGACTCTATTTAGCCAGATCATCTTCAATGCCTAGCTCACCAGTGGTTTTGCATAAAATGTTGCTTTTTGTGTTGTGTGGCTCATCTCCAGCAATACCCCGTGTGTATAGGTTTGTTGGTTTTTCTATACAAATCATTTGTAATTCCAAGTTGATTTCACTTGCTTATAAAACACCTAGCACATTTGTATCTCTTATGTAATTGCTCCCTAGTGATTTTGCTATTAATCTTTGAATAAGAGCAGAAATGTGCTGCTGATCTCTCTTTAAAATGTATGTTTTGATGTTTTGAGAGCAATAAATAATATATCAACAGGCATTGATATTACTGTCACACCCGAGGAGATTTAATGGAATTGATTTAGATCCCAAACTTTTTGGATTAATTATTGAAAAGTTCATCTGTGGTAGATAGACGAGGTTTGGGTACCGATGCATGGCAGGGTGTCATTTTTCTTCAGCTGTTCAGTGTCTTCATTCTCATTATGCTGAAACTTTCTTCTCAATTGCTTCTCCTATTTCCTCGAGGGTGTCTTTGGTTTAAGCATAAAGAATGATTGGATTGAACAAATTTGTCTATTCTATATTCATCCATTTGATTTTTGGATTAATTATAGTGATAGAATAATGTTATTTGGATTTAAAAATTTGACATAATTTACTAACTAGTGACGTGGCGTTGGTGAAATCATTAGATTAATACCAAATTTTAAAGTTTAATAAGGCCAATATTTAATTTAAAGGTCAATGAATTAGGTTAGTAAATTAAGTTTTAATAACATTGTTCATAGTGATAATGTTCTTTTATCCCATGTTTGGTTCAATTATTAAAAAGTAATAGACCTCACATTTATCTCATTCAACATTTGTTTGGATAGAATATTGAATGATAATATAAATATTAAATTATTAAAGAACCATAAAAAATAATGAGTGATATTTATATCTTCACATTCTTGAGGGTAAAAATATCTTTTTCCCAAATATAGACCAACTGGCTTATTTAAATCACCAAAAAATAGTTTTATTTAATACGTTGTATATGACATTAAATACACTATTTATTCGGCTGGTATTATTTTGAGATGATTATACTGAGTCTAAAATGTGTATCCAAACACGTGTATAAGAGGAATAAAGTGAAACCTGCATTATTTTTTTTAATCCCTCTTCTTAATTACCTAAAGCAAACACATTAAGGTATTAGCCCACGACTCTATAGCTCTGTCCTCAAGGTCGTCGCATGACCCTCATCGCAGGGCCTAGCCTAACTATGTTTGCTCAAAAGCCTATTTCACCATAGCTCTAGAATGCATTCAAAAAATGTTCCTCCAATCAAATTAATACTTTAGACACTTTGTCACCAATATGTTGGCTTGCATCACATGTGCCTCGACTATATATTTGCAGCCTCCTTGCATAAATACCCTTCTGTCCTCACAAGTTTGGACATACTATCTCAAATCCCATCCTTTGGTAGTCTCTTTCTTTATGCCCTAGTCTTAAGACCTTGCTCTATGCTCTACCCTTTCCCTCCTCTCCTCCTTCACCAGTGAAGTGTATGCACCCATTTAACTCCCCATCAAAAGAAAGCACCCGGAACACGGAATGAAACGCCCAAAACCAAAAGAAAGAAGGCAAAATGGTCTTCACATATTCCACAATCCCAAAGCAATCTCTGCACCCAAGCTGATAGCAACCGTTTTTGATATCATAAAGTACAAAGAGCAGTTCAAGGATTTTGACAGAAACCTAAAATGCTGTAGCTTTGGCTTTAGAGCAATCACTATGTACAATTCTACCCTAAACATGATATGCTAGATGAGACCATACAGCACATGAAATTATCAATTGAATTAGTATTCAGAACAAAAAGCAAAACTACCAAACATTTGCAGCTGCAATAGACAAGTGCACAATGTTAAGCTCAAATATATAATAAAGAGCATGTCACTGTAAGAGCATCAACTTAATATATAAAAAAAAAAAAAAAAGAATTCAATTTGCCACTTATAGAAAAAAATCCAAAATAGTGTAATGAGTTTCAAGAAACCATTGCTAAGTTCAAAGATATCCAACTACAAAAAATGCTTCTCCTTGAAGATTATGTGGCCTAAGGAATGGATCTACAATCACATAATTTTTCTTTGGTATCATATCCCTAATCTATATACAAATGACACTCATCCACATTCAAGGACAGGACACGAAAACCTTAGTACAGTACACACATACATTGCCACTCACAGCAAGGACTGAAGCCTGTTTAGGGTTTATGCTGTGCATATATTGATGTTCGAACTGCATGGTGAGGAGACAGAACTTTTCCATTTACAAGCACTTGTTCTAAGAAATCCACGCGAATTGAGTTGAACTGATAACACTGATGTGCAAATAAGATCAGCAAAACTAAAACTATAACTGCCACTGATAATAGTTATGCATTACAATTGTCTAACAATAAAAAAAAATTATTAATATTCACTTTTATTGTTTTAGCGTTGGAGTCACAGTTTCCAATACACTCACATATACTTGATTTTGAGATGAGAAAATATTCAATTAGTTTAGTTAACCCTGGTTAACTACTATATTAAAAGAGGCTGTGAACGTTCAAAATACATGAAAAGAACATACCTTTCCCTTCCAAGATATATCAACATAGCGGTAACATGGTTCCAATAGTATCACCTGATCTCCTTCTTTAATCTGCAAGGGCACAAAATCATTAATTGCCTAATAATACACAAACTGATGAAAAAAAAAAAACCAAAAGTTGATGGTAGCTACTCTGTGTGAGAGAGATTCCAAACCCTGCATAGTATTTTCCATCTTTTTTCAGCAAGTAATGGCTGCATTATAACTAGAGCTATTCACAGGAATTCATGTTGAGGAAGAAATGTCACAGCCATTGCGATGGGGATTTTACGCCCAAGTATGATCTTAACAACGGTGATCTCTTTACTAAGAAAACCCGAGTTTGATGGTTGGTCAACAAGGTCCAGACAGGGAATAAGGCAAGGAATGACATGGCACCGGGGAAAAATTGTATGAGGCCCCTACAGTAAGTTGCTAAGTTTTTACTAGTCAATGCCCATTAATGCTATGCAAGCCATTAGAGAATAAAAGAATTGTAGTTTTGCACCACTACGCCACTGGAGTCTAAGAAGAAACTTTTCAAAAAATTCAAAAACTTGTCATCTCAAATTGTGGAAAAAATGAAAAATATGTGAACAGATTTGCATATAATAAATTAAGAGGAAATCTCAAAGAAATATGATTTCTACATTAATACCATCACAGCCTAAGGAACGTGATTAACTTACTCCATCATTGCGTAGCCCATAAACTGAGAGAACATAACACATTTGACTTGAGTCACACACCAAATAGTATCTGCAATATCATATTGTAAAGTTAAGATAGGGATCACCCTTACTAACATTAGGAATAACGACGCTTATGACACTAACGAAAATGGATTTGCTTTTCCAATTCCTAGGTTTTGTGCGACTTTCGTCTCCCCACAGGGGCGGAGCCACCCTTGGACTAGGGTGGGCACATGCCCCCCTCAATTTTTTTTTCTTCACATTAGACATATATTTTTTGAAATAAAATATAAACATATTTAATTGTGTCCGCTCTATTATTGTGCTCTGCTTATATAGATTTAAATAGACTCTTACCTAAATGATTGTTAACTTTTTGAACAATATTATTGAGACTTAATTTAAGAACCTAATGCATTGTGACATTAAGCCTAATAGTGAGTTTCAATATTTAATAAACTCCACTATCTATCTGATGGCTACAAACCAGTAGGTCTTCATCAATTAAATCTTAAATTAGGTACAACTAATATTATTGTTTACTTTTAGACACGTTTCAGACATGTTTGAATATGTTTTGAACATAATGAGATTATTTTATATTTTTTTAAAATTATATGGTCATTTCGTTATTTTATAAAAATACGTGTCGTTATGTAGTACATTATAAGATCATATGGAAGACTGTTATCACAATTTTATATGTATAAAAAATATTGTTGATATTATTGATTTATAACTCTTTCAAATAATAAAAACATGTCAAGGTCAATTGTAAGCGACAATAATTACTCTCATTTTTTATAAGAAATTTTAAGTATTCTTTCTGTCCATGTTATGCATATCAATTTTTAGTCTTTTATGTTTATTGAACTTTTAAGTATTAAATATAATTTCAATAACTACGAATTTATGAATTTTTACGGTCAATTAAAAAAAATTTAAACATGTTAATGTGCCCACTCTAAAAAAAAAAAATCTGGATCCGCCCCTGTCTCCCCACCTCCCTCCACACTTCCCGCAAAGCAAGAAAAAAAATGAAAGCTTTGTGTGTGTGTGCACATAACTAATAAAACAGCACAGATAAACATGGAGAATAGGTTGAGAGAGAATTATGGTAATCAATGACATTCAATTTTTTGGCTATACGTATATTAACCAATTTAAGTGGACCCACAAGAACCAAAAATGGCCACAAACTTAACCAAGGTAGGGTTTAACGGAAGAAACTTACAATGGAGTAACATTCTCATGCTTAATGTAGAATAGAACTTTCCCTACAATTGCAACTGTCTTGTTTAGACCTTCTGCCAGATTATCTATTGTGGCTCTTTTGTATGCAGGATTCACTGCAGGGGGGAAAAAGTGCTTCTACTTGAAATTGCAGATAACAGGTTCACTTGAAATTGCAGTCAGCCATCGAGTAAGATGTATAAAATAAGCAATTGCAGTCCGCTGGTTGATACAAGATATAAAATGAGTATGTTGGCTTACATTTAACGGCTGCTAGCGATGATGTCAAGGATGCAAGTCGTTTAGCCTTAGTCTGTCCCTGTAAAACTATAATATTAGAACCAGTAGCATCTGAATAAAGGATATGACCCAGTAGGGCCAGTACATGTCCCCAGCAAAGAACAGCAATGGGATGTACTGAACAGATACAAACCTAATCTTTGTCAATATTTCAAAAAGTGGCTGCTATTAGACTAAGTTGTTTGAAAATGAAAAGGCATTGATGACTATAATTTAAAGGAAATTAGAGCTTAATTGATAAGACAGACAATATCATTATACCAAATCTGTGATCTATGTAGTGACTCGCAAGGACAATGTGGCATTAAATTGGACTAAGTAATGGTCTCCAAATGCAACTCCAGAAGTGCCATCATCATCCTGTTCAAGGTCACTTATTCAAGATCAGACATAAATTCATATCCTCAAGACCCTAGCATGGCACCCTGTTATGAAAGTAATGCCTAGTTTTGGGGCAATGGTTTAAGAGGGTTTCGACAAACTCAGGACACGATTATACCATTTCCCAGAAACATAATGCCAGACAATGAGCTCATTAAGGCAGCTACGTGGACCTTCGAAGAGCACTTGCACCATATCCTACTGGAAAGTTGTGGAGATCTCTACCAACATCAAAGTATTGACAGAAGCACGGATACGGAGACAGGAATACAACAAAATCTCAAAATAGAGGACATGGGTAGGGTTAATTAAACTAATAACATATAATTTTACATATATAACAACATTAATAATGACTAATAAGACCTAACAAACATTGATTTTTTTATTATAATTAAAATGGATCAAAGATTCAAAATACACATCCACCATTTCCTCAGAGTGGATACACAGCATAGGAGTAATAGAAAAAAAAGACACAGCATAGCAGTAACAAAAAAAAAGAAGAAAAAGAATGTGGTGGATATACAGCACACTCAGCACAGCAGGCACATGCAGCAGCAGATCTGGAGAGGATACACAGCACAGCAAACAGCAGCAGATCTGGGGCTTTGCAGTCGCAGGTATGATCTTCCCTCTCTTCTTCTTCTCCTCGTTGCCAAAGCAGATTTGGTGGAGCCTTCATTCAAAGCCTTCATTCTCTCTCTGTCTCGATTTTGGAGTGGGGTGTGGAATGACCACCGAAGACTGAAATTTCCCCCTTTTTCTTCTTTTTCCAGCCCTAAAACGAGACATTGTTTCTTTTTTTCTTTTCTTTTTTCCGTTTCAGCCCCTCAAATTTTTAAAATTATAGATGAAACCCCGCCGTCTCTCTCCCGTATCCCTCGCGTATCCAGGCCATATCCGGCTGCAAAATATTCTCTTCTCCTGTTCAGGACACTCTGAAAGTGTCGGACACGTGTCCGGCCGTGTCCCATGCGTATCCATGTACGACACATGTCCGACACCGACAAGGCAACCCCTGGCGAGTATCTGATTGTGCTTCTTAGATTGACACTGATGAATTAAGAACTACCAATTCCAGCTGCTCTAAGCTTGCATAACGAAACTGCCAATTGTGATTCCAATATTTGCAAAGTCAGTAATATAATGCCATTAGGGCATGATTCTTAGGACCATTGACTCGTAACCCCCCAGAATGGACTTTGAAGCCCATTTTTTCTCTTCTTCCCACGTTCAAGGAGACCTTGATCATCTCTCAAATTAGCTTTTTTGATTCACCTCTTCCAGCAACTATCCTCGAGCATTAAAACTTTATCACTAAACATCAACAGCAATGGTAATGAATATCTTAGAAAAGTTGTCATGAATTCATGACCTTATCTCCTGATTACTCCAAAAAGTTGTCATGAATTCATGATCTTATCTCCTGCTAAATTGCTGCTGAGTTTTATGTGCTTGTTGTTTACAAGGATATAAATTGTCCCAAATCTAAGAGAAATGTGTGTAAGAACTATACAATGGTAGATACATGGAAACAATACAACTCCTTCCTGAAAGGGGAAGCACCCAAATACTAGGAAGTCCCACATTTTCCAGTCCAAGGAGAATTAGTATAATTAAATTATTTGGTATCTACCATCATTTATGACTTCATTCTAGATATATATTTTGATGTACTAATGAAGATGAAGATCATACCCTGGAAATGTTTCTTCTATGACTATGACTTAAAAGAATGTGCATGTGTGCGCATAATATAAACTATAACCATGAGGAAGCTCTCCCCCCTACCAAACCAGTTCCAGCATTGAACACTGCAACGACCCCTGATTCATGCTTCCAAGTGTCTAATACATCCATTGTGAGTGGATGAAACCCATGTTCATAGTCCTACATATGAGATCACCGTGTCAGAGACCTCTCATGTTTCAGAAATCAACATTCACGTCCATGTCATCAAAAGCACACAATTTATCCTATTGACTTTTATTATATGTACTTAGGGGTGTCAAACGTGTCGGTTTAAACGGGTGATGGGTGAAAAATATGTAAACCCGTACACGACACGTTTAATAAACGAGTGAAAAATCTTAACACAAACACGACCCTTTTAGTAAACAGGTAACACAACACGACTCGTTCAACTCATTTAATTTGAAAAAAATTATATCACCAAATTTTAATACTCCACTTTTTTTATTGTCAACTGTACTTACCTCAAAAAAAAGGAATTTTTAGTCAAATTCCACATAAAAATTAGACTTATATGCTAAAAAGAATAAGGCAAGAGACCACTGCGTTTTATAGACAAATTAACTCTCCCCATCTCACCTTGTCAATTCTACAATCTGCATCGCGATCCAACAATCCCTTCTTCTAATTCTTTCTCTTCCCTCACTTCTATCAAACATACCCAATTCCCATCCCAACATTCGATCATGTATTTTTTGATACCCACATTGATCTTCAATCTGTATCCCCAGAAATCCTCTTCTATGATGCCGAAAAGACCCTCAAACAAAAGAAAATCGAAACCCCATCATTCACAATGGCCCTATCGATTCCTTCGGATTTTCAAAAATCCCAAAATCTCTCAGTTTCCAATTCTCAGTAGTCTTGTGGAGATGAATGAACTCTAACTTTTCCATTCCAACTATGGTGACCCCAGTTAAGCTCTTGATCATTCTCACCGGCCAGTGTTGTTGGTGGGGGTGGTAACTGGTAAGCTCTCGATTCTTTGGCAAGAACTCAAATGGTTTGTTCCCACATCGAGAACTGGGGTAAGTTCCGTAAGTGAGTAATCTGTACTTAGGCCATTGAACCTCACCTCATCTACTCCGTTTTTGTTCTTGTATGCTCATTGTCAAGTTTCATATGCCTTTTCACTTTTTTTTTTTTAATTATTTACTTATTTACCATATATTTGTATAAAATATTTTAATTTTGACTAATTTTTTTTAAAGTAATTATTAATTTATTATTATATTAATGTTTTAAAATGGATAACCGGGTGATAAACGGGTTGACAGGTTTCACCCAAACACGACCCGTTTATTAAACGTGTCTAACGGATTAACCCGTTTACCGCACAAACCCGTTAAGGTCTCACCCAAACCCGTTTAATTCGTGTCGGTTAATCGTGTCGTGTTGAATTTTGACAGGCCTATATGTACCTTCTAATTATTAACCATAACAACCAAGAGATCCCTTGATTCTAGATCAACTAGAATTATGTGCTTCAGATCACTAAAATAGTGGCAACATAAACAAACTTCAACTTACCTTGACCAAACTCTCTAATTTGTCAAGGAGATTGACCATCTTTTGAACCTCCCCAGTGGCATTGAGACCAGGATCCTTCAATGCAGCAGCTTCAAATCCACTAAGGGCCCTCTCATAGTTTTCTAGATATTTGTTTACCTGAAAAACACAGATCTCAGCTACAATACAGATATGAGATGTGATCTCAAATGTGAAACCAAAGGAAGTATAGAGACTAAAATTTCCAATATAATGGACATAGGGTTGGTAACATGAAAGCATATAGAAGGGTTCAGTAATGTGAAGGAGAACAAAACAAAGAAATTTTATATCTAAAACAACAAAGGGAACAGAAGGGGAAAAGAAACTACAAAGCCATGAAATACTAGAGAACCTCATCTCTACCTGCCTTCTCTACAGCCAAGAAGTGTTTCCCAGGTCAGCTAATCACAGAAGTACAACAAATAGACTACGTATTCTCCATTGCCATATGATAGATATTTTTTAAGTTTAAACTTCTCCACTACCAGGCTGATTTAGCAACTAGAAAAAATGAAACATACATTTTCAAAATGAAATATGATGAATTTCTTATACTCTCACTGTTCCTTGAAATGTCGTCCTCCTATCATTTTTAGGATGTCTTCAATTACTATCCATTTTGATGGGTCAACAATTGATAACCGTTACCTCTCTCCAAATATAACCTTTTAACTCAAATATAGGGATAAAAAAGGGGGAAGTTCTCCTACAAAATTACTTATGATGGTGAAAATTGAAACTAAACATTGTGTGGCTAACGATAATAAGCTAAAAAGGGTCTCCCAAAACTTTGTGCAAAGTCCAACAGAGATGGATTTTTAGGAATGGAAGGAGTGTAAATATATCTACTGACGTGCAATGGCAACCTTCAAATCTCCTTCTGCAGAGTTCCACTTAACAGTTTAAAATAACTTTTTTTTTTAAGTTTTTCCAGAAAGTCGAAGAAAGAAATGGATCATTAAAAGAACAAAGAAGCACCTTTGATCATTAAAAGAACAAAGAGGTATCATGTTTTGGAATGTGAATTCCAACATGTGAACCTCTAGGATATTACCATTTCTCAGGTGACTCTAGAATGATAGTTTTAATAAGCAACATACAAATGGGAAGAAAACATGACATGGAAAACATGACAGTTTACTGCTGATTCTATATCAGTGTTCACAATCCATAGCCCATACGAGAGACTCATACATTAACTGGCTGGAGAAGAGCAGAATAGCTGCTTCATAGAAGTGAAATTGGTACAGTAACTGGTCGAAGTAGAAGGGCGCTTTGAAGCTTTTTTTTTTCAATGGTTGGCACCATGAGAGAGTTTCCCTCTTGATTCATCATTTTGGACATTGTAGATAGTTTGGATTGGAGAGATGGTAGCTTCTGCTTTGTAGCTTTTGGATATACATTGGAAGCACTGCAGTGCAGTCCACTTCTTCTGGCAATTGTTAATGATATTTCATTTGTCAAGAAAGAGAAATTTTATGCCACTGGCATTACGTATAATTCCAATCTACAGAGCAGAATGATACGAACCAAAAACAGCCCATGCAATTAGATAGTAGAGCTTCACAGGATTTACCATTAGCATAATCCGATGAACTTAACATGGAAGTAACTATGCCAGAACAACTCTACCAGACTCGGGAAAGCACGTACAATCCAGGATACAGACTGAAGACAATCTTAATAACAGATCTCAGAAAACAGATACTGGGTAAGGCTGTCTACCACCTCACTCCCTGCTATAGGTGGAAGCCATGTGCACTTGGTACAACCTTTTTTCACTCTAGAAAGCATGCACATAAACTTTACCTTTGCTTTTTTTCCTTTTGTTGAATCTCATCTCACAGTTCTGCTTACACAAAACCATCACTAACACTCCTAGTCCAACTAGAGTACAATCTTAATATTCTTAGTTTGTTATACTTTATTTTAGGATTTTGACACATTATACAAGAAAATATCATTCCAGCACAATTGGATATATTCAATTGGTTAAGGGGCAAAAAAGTTGCAGGTCGATCATTTTTAAGATATCTTCAAATTCAACCTTGGCATATGATCACAACAACTTGTTGCCAAATCACATGATTGGGAGATTGTTACAAGAAACAATAGAGGGACAACTGACACACACATGCACATCAGAGGACGAAAATGAATGGGATAATTGACTTACAGTAGCACTGTTGAAATATAGGTCTGGATTAAACTTCATTCTCTCATCTTTCTCCTGAAAGTTGTCACAAAAGAATTAGAAGATGTTCCATGCCTCTAGAACCAGTCAAATGAGGAAATATCAGAGTAAATTAAACATCAGAAATTTCCATCTATGGAAATGTTTTGATGTCCCTACACGTACAGCATTTTGGTATGCTTTTAAAGATTGCAGAAG